ATTGAAATCGTTGTAAGACATCTTTTAACAACAAAACTATTGGAAAATTAAACATAATAAAAATAAAATAAAATAACACAATGCTGCTTAAAAGATAAAGGAAGTGTTCCATGATTTCAAAAGAAAGGGAATTTAAAGAATGACATTTCTCATGCAGGCTGTTCGCCTTTTGTTGAAAACATTCAATTCCGTCACCATAGAGTTACTGTTTCTATGGCAACAATTAATCATGCAAATACCTAAACCCACCCAAGCTAGCAGTGTTAGTTTAAACAGATGACGTTCACTGATGGAAGAGACAATATGAATACCCTTTAAAATATTATCCGTAACATTTATTAGTAGTAGGAATGTCCTTAAAAAAATTGGACTGCAAGACCTCTCTAAACAAATGATTAAACCTATGAAATTCAAAAGTATAGGTTATATAATCTTAAATACATTAAGTCCTTAAATATTTTGAGTAATTATTACCACTAATACAAGAATACGGGAAAAGTTATTAAAACCTGTCATTTCCTTTTGAAATATACATATTATTACTGTTATTATTATTGATAAAAATTATAGAATGGCGACAGGATACAAAGGCCTACAGGTCAACTAAAGTAATATGAAAGAATCAGGTGTTCTGTAACTTCTTTTGAGCAGTATATATAGCTACTTCTATCAGAAAAGTATCAGTGTGGGCAAAGACAATATCCAGTACATTGGATCACTGTTTTTACAAACTTATGTTTTGAAGTTGTTTTTTTATTTTCTAAGCCATCAAGGAAAGAACAGTTTGACAAATAAAATTCATAAAAAACTATCCATATTTTATATTCTGATTCTGGTATTTGGTTCCGTTTGGTAGTTCAGTAAAACGAAAAATAAAGTGTCCCACAAACCTGATAGGCAAAAACCCTGTTCAGTTGTGTGAGATCGGGACACTGAATATGTTGATCTACTCAAGTGTAAAAACATGCTTGATAAAGGTTTTTTTATCTGCACTGAGGAATGATCACAGCAGGGACACCAGAAATGGGCTTCACACGTTATACCCATGTTGAAAATCAAACCTGTAACTTAGGCGTTTCAAGTGAACGCTTAAACCACTGGTCTACCTCACCCAATGCCCAACCCCCGAATTTGAAGTTATCATTAGTACAAACTGCTTGTTTGTACGTCTACTCTACCGATCAAAGAATCGACTCATCCAGTGAGATGCAAGACTCTATAACAATGAACTATATCCACTTGGTACCAATAAATATCTGGGGTAAATATCTAACAATTGTGTTTCACTGATGATATGTAGAGGGCAATGCAAGGACTAGCATTAGCAACTTGGAACCGTCACAAGCAATTATCAAAATCTGAGAATTGACATAATCATGAGAATTCCTTCAAGGTATCTATGTACAACTATTTACATACATACAAATAGAGAAAAATAAACATCTTTATTTACAATGCTAAAGGGTGATATTTTGAACACAGGTCGCCTTCTCGGAAAGCTTGATATGAACTTTGTGTCCTCACAATGATATGGACAATGTCTCTTCATTGAATGATTAACACATGAATCTTTACCCAGTGAAATGCCATTAGCATCATTCATCAGTACCGTCAGATATCCTTCTGACAAAAATATTACTCATGATATGATAGTTTGGGATGATCAACTTCATAATAATTAAACAGGGCCGAGCATTGGAAAAGGTTTGTTTTGCAATATACTGCGATACAGGTATCTGTATTGTAGGGCTGTTATGATTAACTCGCGTATTTGGTGAATCGAACCTTAACCATTCATGAATTGAATTCGTTATTCATGGCCACTAGAATCGAATATTAATGAATATGCTATCATGTATATTTACATACCTGTACCTAAAGATATCCATAACAACATATTATATGCATAGATTTCTTTCAATAACACTCTAATAATATTTAATTTGATAGTATTGTCACTGGTCATTGTCGCATTTGAGTAGATACTGGTACCTGGATAAGTGCAGTATATAAATGTATAATTTATTAATAATTAACAAACCATGTCAAATAAATTATGATGTTATTGTTTCACTGAATATAATAAATAATACATAAACTGCTGACTTGTTATTGTAATTGTGAATTAATATTCGTATTCGTAACCCTATATTCGTGATATGAATCGTATTCGCCTCATAGTGTATTCGTTGCAGCCCTACTGTATTGAGACACCTATTGTGATATATATGTGCTAAAGTGTTTGACATCAATTGACACTGATTGTACATCCAGATCATATTTTCTATATACTGAAGTTTACATTGTTTTGTAAGTCAGTTTCAAAGGGAAACATCACTTGTGAATAAATTTGTGAAACTTTTAGGTTACAAGGATACAAATAATAACAAAACTTGATTTATTTTTACCCAATATACCGGAACAGAAAAGTAATTCCAATATACTGTTCAGTCCAACAATTGCAGCAACGTTTCTGTGTATATCTAACACTTGCTTGATAATGGTGTTACAATCTAAATGTAGCTAGAACTACAATAAAGAAGTCGATCATCCAATCCATCTTGTCGTAAGTCACATGTCCAACTTCTAAATGCCCCTCAAAGATCTACAAAGATCCCAGTTGGAAACTGTAACATGATATTACTCCAGGTGATTTCACTTTGGTGGTACTGACCAGTTTAAAAGCATTTCACTGTATAATGAAAATGAATGGATAATTGTATCAATATTTCAAAAGAATATCTAAACACGTGTTATTGTTTGAAATGACATTTGATAGTGGGAAACTTGAAATCCTGAAAGACAAAAAGGAATGTAAGAATGAGGAAATCTGGATGAAAAAGTCTCAAAACTTTAAAATCAAATCTGTGCTGGAACTATTTCCCTAAAGTGCTTATCGAAAGAGCTGCACCCCAAATCATTTACTTAGGAATGAAAACATTCGTGGATATGAAGAAAAGACTGAAGACATTACAAAATCTCAGAAAGTCCCATATGGACAGCCAATAGAATCCATCTTATCATGTAACATGTCACACAGACTGCAGTCAACACTAGTCTCCAGTATATACAAAGGACATCTAAACAATGCAGACAGATGCTTTGCTCTTAGTGATTTGTAAATCAAATAGAGCCAATCTGTAACACAGGGCACACAACACTATAATAACTAAACCTTTGTCCATAATGCAGGGGTCCTGTATTTCATGTCCCCTCTACATGCTTCTCTGCACACAATGGTTTACCTCATGGCATTCCTATTTCAAATTTCAAACAGTGGACAAATCAAACTTCATGGACAAAGCAATGTACATGTACTGAAGCACATTCAGTAAAATGTCAAAACTAAATTGTTTACAAAAATGTTTCAAATCAACAAGATTGGGATTTGAATTAGTTTGATGGTACTGTTTTACAATTTCCATCCTGGTTGTGGGGTGAGTGAGGGGTCAAGTTTCACTCCTTTCAAATTTTGTTTACAACATAAACAAACATAGATACCAGGTGTCCCTAAGTTCCTGACCTAGTTGAAGTTTAATTTGTGACAAACTACATATCAAGGACAAGGTCGAAAATAATTACCAAGAAATGCAATCATGTTGTCCTCAACTTGTTAAGAGTCTTATCATTGACCATTTCAGGGTTTGACTATTATAATTGTCGCAGCAAACTTGACCATTGGCTCCCAAAAGTCACTGGTCTCACAGAAAATCTTGCCTGACAATTACAAAGCACAAAATTACAAATATTTCACATGCCTGTTCTTTCTAACATTTGTATGGTGGACTATCACATCTATTGAACCCGAGAGTGGAGCAGTGCAAACACACAAGAACATGTCTACTTGTAAAGTGCACACACTCTGTAAAACATCAACATCATACTAGGTCTGACAAAGGCATTATTCCGTATCTCATATATACTGTTTGTTTGTTTGTTGTTTTATGCCACACTCAGCAATATTCCAGCCATATGACGGCGGTCTGTAAATAATCGAGTCTGAACCAGACAATCCAGTGATTCATATCATGAGCATCAATCCACACAACTGGCATATGATGACATGCATCAATCAAGTCAGCGAGCCTGACCACCCCATCCCATTAGTCGCCTCTTACGCCAAGCATATCATATACACTAACAGTCCTAGTTTCCCGGCATGTCCTGGGGGACGACAGTGAGGGTGTAACCAGGCAGAAGAGAAACATGACACACTGCTTATCACAAGTCTCATTACTGGGGGATCAACGCTGATCACAAATATGTACACTGCTTCACGTACCTCATCATATACCTGTTTAAGAATTTGACATTAAGTTGTGACCTTTGACATAACATTCACTAAATAAGATAAATGTATCAATATTGACAATTCAACAAATAAGGCTAAAAGAAATGTACTATGTCCCTGGTCTTTTATTTCCCCTAAAATGATGGGACAAGCCATATTTTTCTCTTTATTTTGTGACAAGCTCATGTGCAACTTTATCAGCACTTGCTGGAACACGATTATCTTTGTATTATGAAGGAAAAACGTAGTTGTCTTCCGTTATTATAATGCTCTTTTGGCAGTGATCGAAAGTTCAGTACAGTGATGTCTGAATGGCAATTGACATGCCCTCTGCTTAACACACACGCATCGTGCGTCACATGCAGGGTGCAGATTGGAATTACCGCTACCTGCCCTTCGTTAAATATCTGGAAAATAACAAAGCCTGACGCGGGGACTTGAAAATGACGCAGGTAAAGAGCAGAAACATAATACTTTTCTTCATTTTTTATCTAATACATATCAACAATAGGTATTTGTAAGTTATCAGAAACTATTTGTTCTTGAGGCTATTGAAACATTTACAGAATCATTACATGAAACAAATGGTAAATGTCACCATTAGGTACATTTGCATGTAGTTTTTCAAGGCAAAACCGAAAAGACTATCAAAAGATCGGTGGGTGTTGTCAAACTTATTCTTAGAAGGTGTTCAATTTTTATGAAAAAGTTAACGTAGGGAAATATTATTTGTTTGTAATTAGTTGCCACAATTTGCTTCCTTTACCAAAAATTATTCACATTACCAAATAATTCAAATATTAAATTTCTTAAGGCATGAACTAAACAATTCTATGTTCTTTGTCAGTTACTTCTATCTATCCAGACACACCTTAACTATGACAAAGAACTCCTGTAACCATGGCAACTATATAATACACAAGTCATATTCATACAATATCAGTACCTCTGATGTTCTCTAGCAACAGGAATTATATGAGCAATTTTGTCAAATATTCTTGTTCATAAAAATATGGTGATATTTCTTCCAAATATATGTCTGAACAACCACTTGATGATCACTTGATGATCACTGATTATATTCCTTGTTTATAAAAATAAATCCTTTTTCCATCCTCTTCCTCGGTCTTTTCATGCGAATATTTTTTGCAGATCTTCCTCTGAAAAAAAATCAAGAATGACGATCATGAAGACGTAACCATGGCAACCAAGTAAAAGAGTGTTTGTTGTTTAACACCACGCTCAGCAATATTCCAGCTATATGACCAATCGGTGGGTGGGTGGGTGAGTGAGTGAGTGAGTGAGTGAGTGAGTGAGTGAGTGAGTGAGTGAGTGAGTGAGTGAGTGAGCGAGTTGGCTTTTCCGCCACTTATCACGGCTCATCACCTCAATGTTGGAGGAACGCCTGAAGTGATGCAGGTCTCAGACATTTACCACTTTGGTGAAACCACGAGCATTGGTATGGTGCTGACAAACCTAGAAACATATTTGGACGAAACAGGATTCAAACCCACGATTGTAGGTCTCAAGTGTGCCCAAGGGAGCCACCCATGCAATGTACACACGTGAGTCACTTGGTTTGGTTGGTTTGTTGTTTAACGTTACACTCATCAATATTCCAGCTATATGATGGTGGTCTGTAAATTAATAGAGTCTGGACCAGACAATCCAGTGATTGACATCATGAGGATCGATCCACTCAATTGAGGTACGATGACATGCATCAACCAAATCAGCGAGCCTGACCACCCGATCCTTATAGTCGCCTCTTACGACAAGCATCATCGCCTTTTATGGCTATCATGGGATTAATGCTGTTTATTACAGTATTTCAGTCATAACATAGTTTGTCAGCTTCAAGCCAGATATAACATTGTGAATACCTTAATGTCTTTTCATGTAAGGGGATAGGACTGGCCATGTCTTCATGCTTTGATGATTAACAATTGAGATTTGTTTGTTTGGTTGTTGTTTAATGCCACACACAGCAATATTCTAGAGGCTTGCAAATAATTGAGTCGGGATCAGACAAATGAGTGAGTGAGTGAGTGAGTGGGTGGATTTTGGGTGAGTGAGTGAGTGAGTGAGTGAGTGAGCAAGCATGGTTTTACGCCGCTTATAGCAATATTCCAGCAATATCACGGCGGGGGACACCGGTATGAGTTTCACACATTGTACCCATGTGAGGAATCGAACCCATGTCTTCGGCATTACGAGCCAAAGCTTTCACCACAACGCTACCACACCGCCCCGACAAACTAATGATTGATATTACGAGCAACAATCCATGCTGTTCGGGTACGATATGAAATTCCATCACGTCACTGCGTCTGACAACCTATAATTACGTCACCTTAACATATCAAGTATGACAAGCATAGACTGCTGGGGACCTATTGTCACACTGAATCCACATTGGTTGACAATTGGAATACTTACCTGTTGTATCAGTATGGTCTGTTTGAGACTTGAAACCGAGTGCTGAGGCAAACTCCTGCATGGTGTATTTGCCGTCGCTGTCAGCGTCGAAAGGTCTTAGCTGCTCCTTACTCGGAGCTGCTCCACCCAGGAAGTCTGGGAGGATGTCCGGATCAACTTTGCCATCACCGTGTTTATCCCAGCGATTGAAAAATGTCGAGAGATCTGAAACAGGATGGGTTGGTTACAGGAAATTTCAAATTGACATGGTTGACGGCCCTTGTTATTATCAGTTGCAGACGTAATGTGGCCCTACTGACATGAGTGATTGAGTATGTGTTTGAGCCGCTTTTAGCAGTATTCTTGCAATATCATGGCGGGGGACACAAGAAATAGGCTTCACACATTGTACCCATGTGGGGAATTGAACCCGGGCCTTCGGCGAACGCCTTAACTACCCCACCGAGCCCCTATCGACATAACAAACAAATAATGTGTGTATCTACGAAAGACAAGCTTTCAGAAATTTTATAGTTTATGAAGTTGGAAAATATGAACATAAAAGAAATTATTACAGTAGAAAAAGAGTCACTTCTGCCTGAGAGTCACTTCTGACAGAGAGAACATTACATCGTCTACTTCTAATCTTGGAAGATTAAGAAAGAAAAAAACGCCACACTGCTATTCTAAATTCCACCCATCCCATTTCATTACTACATGCAAAGTTACAGAATAAGCACAAAGTATGACACAGCCAAGATGAAGTTACAGCTCCAAGAATTATGTCCTCCTCAGCAGCCATTGTGGTCATCCAATCTCCATTGTAGCAGGTTATTACAACAAACAGTACTACTAGAGGCCTAGTCTGTCCCTTGCATTCCCACAATGAAGACAAAGAACAAACAACAGAAACAACTGCATTATGACAAGCCTGCCATTACCAGTCAAGTTGTTGATTCCCTTGATTACAACTGCAGGTGTCGGCTTTACAGTTGTAGGTGCAGGTGTTTCCACAGATGCAGGTGTTTCCACAGATGCAGGTGTTTTTCCAGGTGTAGACAGGTTTCCTACAATGAAGGACAGTTGTTATTTAGACTAACATTTAGTCCCAGAAATAATTTAGAAAACTATATACACACAAAATAAAAATAAAATTCAAATGGAGCCCAGAAGAGTGCTAACTTTCAGCAGAGGCATTATAGACTTGCCAAATTATTCTAGACTTGAGTCCAGACATGTTGATGTACCGTTTAGATTATATATTTTTTGTGCTGCTAGGCATTGTTTTTCATGCAGGGACTAAGATTACATTGTGTATGTTCTCGTACACTAAGCCAGAAACGGCAATCAGCTGTACACACGTTTTCTTAGAATCTACCAGTGATTTGGTTAAAACTTACCCAATGATATAACTTGATTCTGATGCTGATCGGGAAATATTGTATCTAAAAATATTTTTTAAATCAGGAATAATATATTCCGATATCATGTTATTTTAGTTGCAGCTTATACTAAATATATTTATAATAATAATAACCATAAGCATAGCACTTCTGTACAGCTGATCGCTATTGCCAGACATTTTTTTTTCACATGGACCAATTTGACCAGTCACCGTCGAGGCTCCCATGCAAGTGATCAGAGGAAAAAAGTGTGTACTAAACTCAAGAAAATATGGTATTATCAAACAGATATATTGTGTAAAATCTTCACAAGTTAGTCCACTAAGCTACCTTAGCATTTTCGTATTATGATTAGATATACTCATGATAGTGGAGTAATAGCATAAACTTTCACAATTCAAAACATAGCTATTTTTTTATTATTCTTTTATATACAAGTTGTATAATACAACGATGTACCATCAATCATTCAGACAGGTGTTTGATCATGTAAAGTAGGGTGAAAAGGACCTGTCACACATGGTATAAACATGCTTGATGTGACACTGTTTCCTACAATCATGGATACTATAATGAATTTTGCAAAACTACCTAGAAGCCTGTGAGTGAGTGATGGTCATTTAATGTGTTCATAGTATGATATATAGTTTATTTAATTCAATTGGATTAACATACAATAGTGGTGTAAAGGGGGTTATAAAAGTTGGTATATTTTTACTGACTGACATTCTCATTATGAGTTTGAAACGAAAACGCCATGCTTACGATGCTGAATTCAAACTGCGAGTCTTCGCTCTAGCTGATATATTTTCTCACGGGTTCATAATTCTATATACACCGATTCACAAAATGGCGCTTCATTGTTGATGGCAACATATAACGATCATTATGAGATTAAAAAAAGACAAGAGAAACAGCTTCCCACATTATGAAAGTGGATGACTGGTTTGTTAAATCTTTATTAGAAATAATAATGACTTTTTCAATATAATTACAACGTTTTTCATCTTATATTTTTGAATATTTGCGAGTACCGGCACATGTCTTGCAGTCCGACTTCACAGTGTTTTTTTGCCTTTCAATTCCTGGTTCGGCTTATCTGTGGGTCATATCATTTTCTTTCGTATTTCAATGGTCAAGTTAACACCTCGGCTTATCTGCGGGGTCGGCTTATCCGCGGTCATATACGGTATTTGATTCCGATCAGTTAATCAGGTTCCAAATCGCAATAACCACCTTGGATTGAAACATCCTATTTGACGTCCAAATCACTACTGAATTTCATATACATGTATATAGGACTGGGAGAGTACTTCTTCTTCAATCAGTGTTGGAAATTTGAAACACTAAGTAGAACTACAGGTTTCAAATGTGCACATGAGTGAGATAACTACAAACATTCAAAGTATGTGTAGCATTACTGTTTGGGCAGAAAACATGAACGATACAGATAAAGAAAGTGTATTTCAAGTTTCCAAAGTTCCTAACTGCAGTGTCAAATTCAAATAACATGGTTAGATCTCCAAGTAACCTAGATCTACATTGAAAACACAGTGTGTTTATCTCCCAACTTATGTCCAATAGTCAATACCTTTAACTGAGGCAGGAGATGAAACTGGGGTTGGAGATGTGGTTTCCATGGTTGCATGTGAACTTTGACCCAGAGCTACAGCAGGCAAGGAAAAACTAGTCATACCAAGAAGCAAGACATGCAAGTGGCTGAACAAAAAGGTTATGTCAGATGGAACATATACAAAAAGACAACAAAAAAACAACAGTTGTCATATATACTGAATCTAGATCTCATGCAAAAATAAGTTATAACTTTAAAATATAAACGGAATATACCACTCTCCACTCATCCTACCAGATGGGAACTGTGCATGAAGAAATCGGAGGATTCCCGCAATATGAGCTGTTGCATTGTTCAACTCATTCCTGTTCTTTGTGAATGTAACGAAGAGCTGATCGATGGCCTCTGTAAGTTTCAGCACTGTTGAGTTCAAGTACTGTAATCGAAGCGTGGACAATTTGAAAAATATTCTTATATTCTTAAAAAAGGTAAAACTTACAGGATTAACTTTATTCAGGAATGAGAATTTTCCACCGGTTAGCAGAAATCAGCGAATTTTGTTACGTCAAGGGCAATGTCATTAAAATCAGATCTTTACTTCTTGCTACCGCTAAACAAAGATCTGAGGACATCCCATTATAGGTCACGTCAATGAGTCGGGTTTTACGCCGTTTTTAGCAATGTTCCAGCAATATCACGGCGGGGAACACCAGAAATGGGCTTCACACATTGTACCCATGTCAGGAATCGAACAAGGGTCTTCGGCGTGACAAGCTAACGCTTTCACCACTAGGCTACCCCGACCGCCCCAGGTCACGTCAAAACAACCTTTCATCTGACCAATCAGAGCATCGCTTGTGTGATAAGGAAAGTGACCGTCAGAATGTCATTTAAAAGTTAAAAAGGCAATCACCACACTTTCAGCCTAAGAGTAAAACCCAAATGTTCTTTCAAACAAATAATAACATACTCTTACTTTCTATCATAGCAAGAATGTATATTAAATAAACCAATAAAACATTTAAGTTCACACGCAAGTGTTTAAATATTTTCTATTGAAGTTACAGACTAATCTCTTGCAACATGACATCATCACACATCACAAATCTATAAGTGAAAAATTATATGAATATTTAATAGCAGAATCAACCATGTACGTCCAATGCAAGACCTTTTCAAGGCATTCTATCACACTGTATGGGGTTTTCAAGGCAATTAAAACAATAAAGCCTTTTCAAGGCCTGGACTGCCAAATTCAAGGCTTATTTCAACCCTGGTTGAATCTAGATTATTTGTTTTGTTTGTTGTTTAATGCTGCACTCCACAATATTCCAGCTATTTGGCGACAGCCTGTAAATAATTAGCATGATTAGTACAGGACAGACAAACCAGAGATTGATATTATGATCACTAATCAACATTGTCGAGGTATGATGACAAGCAATCAACCAAGTCCCATCTAACCCGGAGTGAGTGAGTGAGTTGGGTTTAACGCCGCTTTTAACAGTATTCCAGTTATATCACAGCGTGTCAGCTTAATGTGGGAGGAAAGCCTGAAGTAATGCAGGTCTCAGACGTTTACCACTTCGGTGAAACCCACGAGCACGGGTATGTTGCTGACAAACCTAGAAACATAATTGGGGCAAACAGGGATTCGAACCCACAATCATAGGTTTCTGGCGGGTCCAAGGGATGCAACTCTGCACAGCGAATTGCGGCGCCTTAGAAGACTGGGCCACCCGTGCCCCCTCTAACCCGGAATCTCCAATGGTATACATACCTCTAGGCTGACCATTGTATCTGTCTGCAACAATGAGTGCTCTCCCCCTTGTTCTGACACGAACAGCGCTTGTGAGGCGTTGATACTGACCATGTCGGACTGCAGCTGTAACACAGGCACATACAGTAAAGGGGTGAAGTAGGAGACAGACATGTGTTTTTAGATTTGCTGATGTTATTGAGTTTTCAATGCATGAAAATTTCATTTGGGACTGATGATGTTAGGTGACTGAAAAATATGATTCTCAGACCAAGGCAAGTACTTGTAGAGATGAAATGCTACCTACTTTAGTGAACATATCCCTCAGTGATGTCAGCATAAGAGTGTTGTTTTCCACCCTGCCCAACAATGTAGACAGAACAGCCATGTCACCTGATGAGGAGGAAGATGAGGAGGGGTCCATTGGCGCTCCATGAATCAACTAGGAATACAGAAATATCAACCATGTTAACTGTTTCAAACATTTCCTCCATAGACAAGTGAGTGAGTGAGTGAGTGAACAGTCGAGTGAGTGAGTGTTCCAGTTATATCACGGCGTGTCAGCTTAATGTGGGAGGAAAGCCCGAAGCGATGCAGGTCTCAGACGTTTACCACTCCGGTGAAACCCACAAGCACGGGTATGGTGCTGACAAACCTAGAAACATAATCGGGGCGAATCGGGATTCGACCCCACAATTATAGGTTCCTGGCGTGCCTTAGGGATGGAACGCTGAACAGCGAATTGCAGCACCTTAGACAACTGGGCCACCAGTGCCCCATGACATTAAGGAGGATCCTGGGGATCTTAACGTTGCTACTTTAGTATTTGAATCAGGGACCCCCTAAATCTTTAACAATAACATTTGGGTTTTGACAAAGGACCTCTTGATTTTTATGTTATATTTCAAACATTGTCATATCATACATATTGTTGCAAACATTGACAGTTTTATGTCCATTATACATATTATATTTTCCATGTCTGTAAAATTTGCAAAAAAAATCCCTTTTTCTTCAAATGTAACTGAGCGAGTGAATATTACCAAATGTCGCACCAGCAGTTTTGAAGCTTTCACAGCGACTGGTCTGGAGATGTATTTATTATATCTGATTCTCTGATTTTACACATGAGATTTGACCGTCACACACCATCTCGCTAACTAAATTTGATATGTAAAGCAACCACAAGTACAGAACCCACCAGACTCTTAAGGGCATTCACTGCTTCACTCTTGCTGACAGTTGGTGGTGATGCTGTGGGGCTGGGCTGCTGATGACTAGTGAAGTTCTCCAGCAAACTCAGTCTGGTCTGCAACAAAAACACAAAGTCCAGACTGCTGTTCTGTGTCAAGCCTGTGTCAAGCTCATGGAAAGACTGTGTCAAGCCTGTGTCGAGACTATGTCAAGCCCTTGTTAAGTTTGTGTCAAGCATGTGTCAAGTTTGTGTTTAGCCAGTGCCAAAAAAGTTTGTGGGGAGCCTGTGTAAAGCCTGTGACAAATTCATGTCAAGCCTGTGTCAAGCCTGTGTCAATCCCCATTCCGTTATGATAAAAACCCTTGGCCTATTTTACTTTTCACTACAATAGCTTATTTAGTCTGATTTGAATTACATGACACTAAAACTAGTCGCCCATTCTCTTGTCAGATGTTGGCACAGAAAGGTATTAAATCAGAGGAAATCCTATGATCTACATGTATAGCCCAAAGCCAAAATTGATGCATGTTGCAGACATATACAAGTTCTGTGGAACCACAACCAAGATCATGTCGTGTGGCACACTGTGTACAGGTGTCAGACTGAGGGCAAACCAGCTCCATACATCTTCATAATAATCCACTTGATGAAGGTCCAAGCCAAACAAATATATACACAAACATTTCCTGCATAATTCCTGGGACTCTTGTATACATACTTACCTCGTGTGTTAAAAGGCTGCTGTTAACCGCTTCAAGTTTTGCCACAAGGCTGAGGTTTAATTTGTTGATGTCCTGTGTAAGCTGGTTCAACATCTGCAACAAACATTACTAGGGCTGGGTATTGTAAAATATATTGTAACAAAGACACTGTGTTGCATGGGTGGCATCCGTCTGGACTTGTAGGTGTGATCAGTGAAGACATAAGTGAGTAGAGCTCTTGTCCTGACCCCAGCAGTGACAATTCACAGAATGCAATTAGTGTTTGAATGACATTGTTTATATACTTGTTACAAGTGCTGCTCAATAAACAGAGATGTGGAATACATAGTTGTTTGTTTCAGCGTATGTCTAAGTTGGTATTTCTGCTTTCCAAAATGTCTTTATCCAATATACTGGAACACAGAAAAAGTATTGCAAGATGTATCGTTTGTATCGTTTTCACCCAACAAAAAAATAAATTAAGTCTGTCATGAACTCTCCAGGGTCTTTGGCATACATTTCAATCACTGTGATAAATCTCACTCAAACATCCTTGGTTCATATTTTGGTGTGCTTTAATACTTTGATTAACAAGTATATGTGATTTTGTACAAATTCAAGGCTTTTCAAGCTATTTTGATGATTTTCAAAGCTTTTCAAGGTTGACACTAACAATCAAGGCTTTTCAAGAGGGACCTTACAATTCCAGGCTTTTTCAAGCCTGTACCAACCCTGTATTACACATATGATCAGTGAGGTGGGACAACAGTTTCCATGGAAATTAATAAAATATTATATGAAGATATTTATACATTCAATCCACGCTTTTTAGATACCAGCCCTTGAATGATATTTAGAGTGGGGTGAAATCCAAATTGGTGGACAAACCATGGAAATATAACCAAAAAAAAATATAAACCATCCCTTGAACTTAACTTGGAGTACATCTACACCATGTTTTTCAGTACCACATAGTGATGGACACACTCACACGCACACACACAGACGCATGCAGGTCGCTATATGATTGCAATCATCTTGAACGTGACCATTTCACCTCACATAACCTCCCATGGTAAAAGGGTTCCCCTACCTGCAATGTGTCAGCTTGTGTTTGATCATTGGCTTCACTTCCCTTTTCTCTTCCAGGCTGGACACCAGGGCCGGTGACTGCACTGCCTGGCTTACTCTGAATCAATCAATTATAATGTTTTTTCATTATCTAAACAATGGGCAGTGATTCACCTGAACTGCGTGAGCGTCTGGCTCTATGTCAGTACCACAACCATTTTAAGCCTGGTAACTCCAACAATTTACAACACACATAAAATACTACCGGTAGTGGTAGTGCTATCTATGGAGTCTCAATACATGGATAGATATGTGATAGATAATAAGCAGTTGTAATTGAGGATGTCATTTTCTTGGGGATGAATAATGCCCTTAGAAATTTCTGAATTTCAAGGTCTACATTGTGAATCATACTGTGCTTAAACTGAATTAATGATTTCATGTTTGTCCTGTTGACTTGTGTGAAACTACATTCATCCCCACAAAAAAGGTCAAATAAAGACCAAAATAATTTTTTTTTTCAAATTGCAAATCCTGTAATCCTTAAACACACACAACTGAAAGATATTGTGATGGGTGGGAAGAGTGAGTTGGGTTTAACGCCACTTTTAACAGTATTACAGCTATATCACGGCGGGTCATGCAGAAACCCTCAAGCACGGCTACGGTGCTGACAAACCTAGAAACATAATCAGGGCAAACCGGGATTCGAACCCACAATCATAGGTTTCTGGCGTCCCCAAGGGATGCAACTTTGCACAGCGAATCACAGTGCCTAAGACGACTGGGCCATGAGTGCCCCCTGAAAATTTGAAGTACTGAATGGTCCTGACAACTTTACCTCCATATCTTTCACTCTCTTGGTCAGATCTTGAAGCTGTTGCTCCGCCGACTTCTGGAACTCTGCGAGTGTACTGAGATCATTCTTAGCAACCTGGATGTCACTGCCCATGCTGGCAACACTCTGAAACACATGGGGAAGCAAGCACATTGGAACTGATGACCCATGGCATAGAACACAAAAATATCAGGCCAAAACAATATTAATCAGAAAGGAAAATAAAGGACTATTGTCCCAAATGTGAATTTTTCAGCAATAAATATGTTCATTTTTCTTTCAAATAGATGGTAAAACCCAGTGCCACTACACTACAGCTCCCATGGATATTAAGATGTCAACATATCATGCATATTAAAGTACTAAAGTGTTTAAGTACTAAAAACTAACACTAAAATTTAATGAACTGACCAGTCACCATGGTCAGGTGACAGCGGTAGAAATTGGCACTAGTCCTGTAGTCCTTGCCAAACTGCCCAATAGTTAACGTATCATAAGGACTAGTAGAAATTTGTCATTTTTAAGGGTTTTGCTACATGTTATCATAATAAGGACTAGTGGACAAAAACTGTTTGTTTCTAACGCTGGGTGAGCTGATAAAAGTATGAACAACTAAATCAATCCAATTCCCTTTGTGCAATTTGGTGATTAAACCAGTTACATTGGTTGGTTTGTTGTTTAACACCGCACTCAGCAATATTCCAGCTATATGACGGCGGTCTGTAAATAATCGAGTCTGGACCAGACAATCCAGTTATTAATATCATGAGCATCGATCCACACAATTGGGATCGATGACATGCATCAGCCAAGTAAGGGAACCTGACCACCCGATCCCGTTAGTCGCCTCTTATGCCAAGCAAAGTCGCCTTTAACCTAGAACATGGACTCAGAAATAAAATATCAGTTTGGAAAACTATATGTAATCTAATTACAGCGAAATGTACAGCCTTATTAAAATACCAAGTAATAAGTTTAAATAGCAGTATCTGACAATGGTGTGAGCACATTGTCCCCCAACACCAGTTCAACACAAAACAATCATTTTTTAATGGTAATGGAGCAAAGATCATCATATATTGGGCCAGGCGTTTTATATTTTTCGGATTACGGACCTGGCGACTAATTTTTGAGAAAATGTAAAAAAAAATCAATCAGAGTTCACTTTTTTCCCCCCTGCGGATAGCCGCGCAGTCAATTACTTTATTTGTTATCATCACCTTTTTATAAAAAACGTGAATTTAGTGTTGTAAACTAGTAAACACGGTAAAGAGATACATAGTCGATCTTTGTTGATCTCAAAGCCGAACATGAATAGCCTACCTTGACAATTGTCCATGTTGTAAGTGGTAGAATTTTTATTGTTACAAGGGGCTTTATCGTCACAAATGGCTGTCTTTTGAGCACAGAATATGTTCATAAACTATGCCAGAGGCATTCTGCATTAAAAACAAAAAAGCATCTGGCTTTTTCTTTTTTCCCTCCTCCAACCCTAGACTTTGGGCTGAATAATCCATAAGCCTAAAAATAAAAAAAGCCTGGCCTTGTAAACTTACACTTGTGAATGTATCAAACTTTTTTGGCAGATCTTTCAGCTCTGGGGCTGCTTTGAGGCTCTCCCGCAGCCCATCAGTTGTCTGACTCAAACTGGACAACTAGAAATAAGCAAGGGACATTACTCTCAACTACATGGAGAAAGCGAGTACATGTACAGGTGAGTGGATGTTATACCCCGTCAGCATTATTCCACTTGCTAACAACAATTTTGATTACACAACAACCTGTCTCATCTAAGCAGATTTATTGTGTAATACAACCACTGAAATGTGAGATCAAGTCAGCAAAACACTTGTCCAAAAACACAAGAATAAATCCACTTTGGTTCAGCTTGGGAATGCTGGGTCTTATATCATTGAAGTTAGTTTACGAGACCTATTGACAAAAGAAAAAAATGAAACAGGAAAAAAAGAGAGAAGACTTTTGACTAAATGAAGTGAACGGGTCCAGGGTTTACATGTAACAACAGATATGAAGATATAATATATGGAATAATCAATCATGGAAAAATAGGCCCAGCAGTAACTTACAGCTCCAGTATGGAGAGCATGCACGTTGACCACAGCTCAATATTATAACCATGACAACCTGGGTAACCTGGTTATTAGAATCAATGGGCTAGTATATCATGCTGCATCTCAATAATATGAATCATGCTGATAGTGTTCAATACAAAACGTTCATAATGAAACAATTTTGCAATCATACAAGGGGCCATTTCACATAGGCCAATACAGCATTACCACATCTTGTGGCAGGTTGGGAGGGGAGGGGAGGGGGGGGGGGGGGGGGGGGGGGGGGGGGAAGGGGGGGGAGAGAGAGAGAGAGAGAGAGAGAGAGAGAGAGAGAAAGAGATGCAAGTTGCTGTTCTCATTATTTACTACAAATTTACAGGTAACACTTAACACTACATAAATGCAATTATGTCAAAATTACCTTTACCTCTTCCTTGGTTCTGCTATTCAGTGAATGCAAGTCACCTTTACAAAGTTTGAGCAAGGACAAATTAATATCCTGAACATGCTGAATGAGATTGAGTGAGCATGGTGTTACATCCCTTGTAGCAATATTCAAGCAATACCTGGGGGTGGGGTGTACCACCAGAAATGGGCTTTACACATTGTACCCATGTGGGAATCAAACCCAGGTCTTCGGCATGACGAGTGAATGCTTAAACCACTTGGCTACCCTACCGCCCCCAAGCTAAATGGGAAAACATATATCTAAGTGTTATTTTTTGCTGATGAGGGGTAAAGTTGCAGCCTCTATAATAATGCCTGGCTAATCTAATGGCTGTATACCTGGGTTGTTATAGTTGTGAGATTTTTTGTGATTTTGTCCATGCCGCGGGCTCCTGTGCGCATGTCCTGCACCGTCCTGTTGATGGACTGGATCTGACTGTGGTACTTCTGAAACTCCTCTGGAGCACCTTGGTTACGGGACTCCACTGTACATAGCACACAGACAGCTATACTTTGCATGTAAACACCAGCAACAAGACACGTCAATTTCGGTATTTTTTCTCTCCTATTCAACAATTTGCAGTGAAGATAAAAAATACCATATGCACATCAAATAGGTATATCTTGGATAATCATGATAAATCAAGATGAGCAAAACAACAGGGTATCAATGAGAGAGTGAGTGAGTATTGTTTTGTGTCGTTAAGCTGGAAGCCTCGCACATTGTTCCCACGTACATGTTTAAGGTGTGTGTGTGTGTGTGTGTGTGTGTGTGTGTGTGTGTGCGTGCTTGTGTGTGTGTGTGTGTTTAATTCAGTAACATCCAACTATACACTTTATAAGAGGAAAATTTCTGCTATATTACAGGACGAGGTTGATCAAACTATAATAGCTACAATAACATTCAGAGGTTCCAACAAACAGACACATCTAATTGGCTAAGGTTTGAGGAATACCACTTCCTTGGTAATTCCCACTCTATTTTTAGTAACTCTAGTAAATGCTGTAAATTATTTGACCTGACTTGGAGTCAATGTGCGTTATGCGTCGAATAACAGGTGACCTATTTTTGACCACTGAATATGATGGAAATACGTGAATAATAATATTAATAATATAATAATCAGCAATATTATATTCCAGCTATATGTTCATAGTGATGGCAGCCTGTATATAAATTATAATCGACAACAGTCGGGACCAGATACACTAGTGATTTATTATGAGCTATGATACAAGTTGTCAGTACTGGTTTCTCCGGGTTTGTTCTGTGAGCTGACGTTAATCCAACTGAATGCATCATACAAATTATTTTCACAGAATGTTTCAGCTGACATTATATTACCATGATTAATTACTTATATTTATAATTTCTACATCAAACACGTTCTGTATGCCAAATATCTAGGCAATACTCTTAACCCAAGGTATTTGAACAATTCACAAGTTGAACATGTTGAAATGAGAAATAATATTAACAATGAGAATGTTATCTCATTTTCTGTCTATTGCTTAGTTGGTTGGTTGGATTCTTGTTTAACGCCCCACTCAGCAATATTCCAGCTATATGCCGGCGGCCTGTGAATAATCAAGTCTGGACCAGACAATCCAGTGATTGACATCATGAGCATCTATCCACGCAATTGGGATCGATGACATACATCAACCAAGTCAGCGAGTCTGACCACCGGACCCCTTAGTTGCCTCTTATGACAAGCATAGTCGCTATTGCTTAGAAATCTGACAATAAGTCTAAATGTTTGTATGCAGACTATGGTAACTAAATAAATGCCAGATTATCATGATGTATATTTATGTAACCATCATAACTACTGTTAGTTTTTATTATGATTATTATCATGATCTTGAGGATTATGTCAATTATAATCATGCCAACAAATATGAGTAGTTTTTGCACACCTCAAACTGGAACTGAACCAGTGACTGATATCATGAGCAATAATCTACTTCGTCAGGTATGACAGCACAATCATCACGACCATACTATCCTCACATCTCTTGCATAAGCTGCATCAATCTTTGCAGTACTGATCAGTTTGATATCAGTGGGTATATTTAACTATTGAAAAGTAACCATGGTAACAGTATTAGGACACAACAGATAATGCCAACACTTCACTTCCAGCAAAATTTGTGAAGTTTTTGAACATGTTGTATCATGTGTACCTTAATACCCTACAAATGGAGTGTGTGCATTATCAAGTGACAAAAAACAAGAAACTATCGTCACTTTAACCGGTGTACTATTTACCACGATTGTACTGGTATTGTGATCATGAAGATACTATGACAAGTACCTTTACCATGTTTACCATCTTAGAAAGTAAATTTCCTAGCTTGTATTTTTATTATGCAATGGACCCTACCACATATGCGATAGGTGCTTTGTAATAAAAGTTATTGACAGTCTTGCAACAGAATTCATAGTAACACTTGACATAGACAATTGAAGTGCATAGATGGTAAGGTTGGATCTAAGATAGGTTGTTCAGATGTACATGATGTAAGACCACTTAAATCCCCACAGGGCAGACAGCAACACAATCTATCAGCATTATCAAACTACCCTGTGGCTATGGTTTTTCAATAACATGTCAACTGGGATGATGTATTAAACATGTTTAATCAATCATCTGAAGTTCTTGGACAAGTTGAAGCAATCAAGTTAAAATGTAGAGACTTGTTTTTCATTTACCTGCTATAAGTCTCTCTCTTAGATTGTCAAGGTCTCTTTTAAGTTCAAAATGCATCCATATTAAGCCCCCACAGGCAATAAGGCAGGATGTCATGACAACGAACACTAGCAAGGCTACACAGGAAGAGCATGGGCAAAATCCAATCCATCTACAAGATGAAAACAAGAATATCAATAATCTTTTAGTAATATGGTTAAATCTGAAAGTATTTAATATCAGGCAAAAAAACCACCCAAAAATATGAACATTCCTCTCAACAGCCATGATATTTTGTCAAATGTTTTATGCTTAACAGGTTTAACTTTGATTTGTTAAATGTTATGATGACATGTTACCCAGAACTTTCTTAATGGCTGCAATATTATTAATAAAGCTAATATTTCCACCTGAAAATTGACCCTGATTAACGAAATGGTAATGAAACCAGTTATAATTCATTTTGGTAAGAACATAACTAAACACCATAATGATCATCATGAACATGACCATCTTGTTTGACTTCCAATTGTGCTACTGCTTCTAGACATTCTTTGGAAGAAGATTTAGCTCCAACCCTCCCCAAAACACACACACACAAGTTATATAAGAACAGAGCTAATATCCTTTACGTGCTCTAAGTCCCAAACAATGTAATGCCATACCTAAATTATTGCTTAGAAAGGTCAGGCCAAGTGTTCAGTTACTAATATATGACAATTCTTCATTACTAGCTAATTGTTTCCAAGTTCCAGAAAAAAACATCCAATGCAGTGTCACACTCACAGTATTTTGTTATTGTTGAAATGTGACAGTTGATCATGTTAGGTACACGTTATACACCTTACATCTTGATATCATGTAACATAATAAACCTGTTTACCTCGAATGATAACTGAATATATTTTTAATTAAATAATATGACATATAATCGCCAGCATGCTGCTTATGTGATATAATGTTAAGTTTTCAGAAAATCAATAACACTCTTGTTAATGAGCATACCTTTGGAAAGAATCATGAATTAGGCAAAGCGACGTAACGCATGAATTATTCATTATTGCTGGCATATGTATGACGAAAACAATATCTCACTTTTTCCCATTCTGTTTGCCATTTGGGACGGAAAATTCTTCGACCTCTGACGAGTCGGAATCGTTAGAACGAAGTAATTCGTGACCGCTTTTGCTTTTTCTTCTCGGTAATTTCCCGTTTGTGACAAGCGCATCGAGTTCTCGTCGCTTCTTCATCTTTTTGGACGGTTTAAAATCTACATTAATTCTGCTAGAGGGCTCCAGTTTGTTGGACTGTCGACAACTAACCAACAAAGCCTGACGGGTCAAGAAGACATGGAGGAATTTTTGACATCAGTTCCAAATCGATAGCCCTAGATGTCGTTGATTTTTCATGTCGGACTGCCATCCGGAAGTGAAGCAGTGAATGTCAGGACAGGAGAAAACGAGCCGTTGCACGCCATTGGCTAAAATTACACAGCGCCGCTTGTGTGATTTTACGGGCGCTTTGACAACACGATACTCTTTTCACACAATATATGTCAGTTTTAGATCGATAGTCCCAGCTGGCCGTAAGAGACGACTAAATGGATTGGGTGGTAATGGATTTTGATGATAATCTTGAAGGCACTGTCGAACAGATGTGCTCTATCTAGACATTCTGCTGTCTCAAAATTCACACCGATCCAGTTCTAGAAAATGAGACCCTCTTCTTTAAATATCATAGTAAAACACCTTATCGCAGTTGTCCAAAAAGGAAAAAAACAATAGGAAACTGATCGATTAGGGAAAACAAGAAGACGACCCACACGAAACCGATACCCGGAATACTTATTCAATGTTCGCTTTCAACATCAAGTGCAGATAATTAGAGGTCAGCAATTAGAGACCGGTACATTGTCCATAGATTTTAAAAAAATATAGTATCATTTGAAGCCAAACGTAGCAATAGATGTGTAACTGGCCTATCTCCCGCCAATAATTCGTGTACTACTCAAAATCTGTTAAGGACCACACCTTTTACTAAAGGTGACTATTTACATCTATAAATACCAGATATAATTGCGAACAGTTGATATTAATAACCCAAGAAGGGATGAGTGGATACGGTAGCATCAGTTATACGACCTGGGTACAGTAGTTGATTAAGTCTCGTGTATAGGTTGATCGACAGCTGTACGTTAATGAAACCAGGTGAGACCGAGATTTGACGTTATTGATTAGATACATTAAAAAGATGTGGCTACAAAAAGAATCAATATGCATGTATTTTGCGATACACAGGCTTGATACGTTGTATATATGGGACCGCCTCCGTGGTCTAGAGGTAGAGCGTCCGCCCGGAGAGCGGAAGGTCATACCAAAAGACGTTAAAAGATGGTACTTGATGTTACCCTGTCTGGCGCTCGACATTACGGGGTTAAAGCAAGGACTGGTCGGCTCGGAGTCAGTATACTGTGTCTGAGTGGGGTATTCATGTTAAACTGCGGCATGGTATCTCAGTGGGCTAGCACTTTAAATCGGCATCAGTCCGGTCTAGTACAAGCACATACACACACACACACGCGCATGTACGTCGCTATATAAGTGCAATAATCTTGGACGCGACGTTAAACCCAATTTCACGTCACCTTGTATATATGGTTATTTTTGCACCTCGTTTTAGTTGATTGCGTTGATGGCGCCTGTCTGTTTTTATGTCCGACATTGAATACATACATGGATCTCCAGAGTGACATGTGTAAAATGACAAATTTCCGCATCGTGTGGACATGAAGGAACACGATACAAACTCACGAATCGTTTTGGGTGGAGATTTCGGAATATTCTATCAATTATATTTCAATTCTCTCATTAAAGAAATCAAAATGATGGAAAAGGTCGCTTTGATAACTTTAATATCTCCCGGGATAATTCCCGATCTGAACTAATTTCAATCACGTGATTTGATTGCCATTGCATTGCACCGCCTGCTGATGGCGTGTCCGAACATCGTGCAAGTTATTCAAGATTGCCTCCATACGTCGTTCATTCCGAGATATTCAGTTACGGAAGTTACTCCTCATCTGTGTCGTTAACGTTATAGCTTGTTCACCCACTAACCTCTTCGACGGAAAGAACCTATTACAAAAACGATTCAGCTTCTGAAATGCTAACCGCCTTAAGCCTTAAAACAGACCACGATATATATATTCAGGTTTTGCACAACCATCGAAATTGTACACATGTACGATATTTTTAAGTAAAACATAGATGAAATCATTAAGAACAAAGATAACCCCAAGGGCCTCGACTGCTGTGCAAAGCTTCGCTATCGTTAGTTGAACATTCTTTGATCTTTTCGCCTTACTCACCTGCATTCTTTTCAAGTGAAAGCCAGTGTGACCTATTCTGGATATATTTTTTACTCCTTGACTTCCCTTTATCTAACTCAACATTAGTCATCGTATTCAGATCCACGTTCAACACAGCTGGGGCAAGTGTTCTAACGGAGAGTCTCAAAATAGATATAGATACGATTGCTTATAATGTGACACTTCTCGACGCGCAAGTCACCCTGAAAATCATGTTTATAGTTCACGTATGTTACTTTACCAGTTGTGTTCGTACTTAAGTTTTCGCAAAAGAAAACTAATTTGTAAGAAAGACATACACTCGGTTTGATGTCAAATATTACTAGATTATCAATAATGGTACGAAAACCTTTGTAGGAATACGTATGGGCTTGGAACAGTATGTCAGTTTCCGTTTGATGTGGAGGATGTGTCATGCAGGCCATAGCTAGACGTTCACCACTTTGGTGAAAGCCACGAGTACAATCGTGGTGCTGTAAAGAGTAGAAACACAATCAAGTCGAAACTGGGATTCGAACTACCGATCATATGTTTACATCACGCCTAACGATGCTCACGGAGGCAACTCAGAACGCCCAACGCATTGCGGTGTCTTAAACAACTGGGCGACCCTGCTCCCACTTTTGTATGAACACCCCTGGATATGAATTATAGTTTGTCATAAACTTTCCGATTACATAATAACCGGGTTTAGTCTCCTTTTAACATTACTGTACGTGTCATTTGAACATTACCGCATACGAGATGTCGTTTTCTCGATCAGTTTGTTTTACAGCCAGATACGCCAAATAGTCTTGCACGAATTCCTGATATAAACTTAAATCTGAAAGAAATATTTTCCGGTGTGAGCGGGCATTTGCTTTTGTAATTTCTTAGAGAAATTGGTCTGTAAAAACGAATATATGTGTAAATTACATACATTTATTGGACTAAACATATTTTTCAAGATGTTGGACTTCTATATTTCCAGTTTGTTTTATCACGGACGTACATACATGTAGGTTTTTGGTTATATGTACTGGGTCTGTGATATTTACCGTACTGTTCAACTGTACATATGCTTTGTGTTATTATGAATGTGTAACTATTTCTGGGCTGAGGTGCTAATTATACAAACTCACTCACTCCTCACTAAAGTAAAAGTACTCCTGAAAATCTATGTGCATACACATGTAAATAAATGGGTGCATTGTATGGGTGTTACGATGAAGCAATGGGATGACGTATGTGTCACCAGCCATACTTACCTTGTTGTACTTTGATTAGAGCTCATGCACGTGGTTTATAATTTTTCAATTGTATATGCTTTTAGCTTTCTTGAATTTCTGTCTGGACCGAGGTACGAAGTATACAAACTCATTCACTCCTCCCTAATATAAATGTAGTCCTGCAAATTTACAAACATACGCCTGTAAATTCGTTCACATGACAAATATGCACACATGTGTATATACATAATGATCGAAATTTGCGTTTGAGTGAGTGCATGAGGGTGGGCTAAACTATACGATGAAGCAATTGGATGGCGTATGTTTCCCAAGCCATACCTACCTTGTTGTATTTGTTGTAATTGTGACTTCATCTCATACACCTGACCCATCAGCCAGTAACATATAACGCCTAGCACCGCCACAGTTGCCAAGACAACGATCACGGTTATGATTTTTAACATAGTCCATAATGAACACACACTTGTGTCGCTGGATACCACCGACTTGTAGGAGCTTTTCTTTCTGGAATTCGAAGAAAAAGATATAACTAATAACATGTTGATAATGTTATACGTTCATGTTTATTCAACGGTCATTTTCCTCGAATGGCAAATATCATATTCATAGGAATAATGTTTTCGAGATATTAAATTCACATCAGACCTTCCGTTTAATCTGTATTGTTTTTTTACCGATACAAAATAAGAATTCCTCTTATATATCCAACCCCTACCCAAGTCTGTATAGATGGAGGGTATTGTCCACGATACAACTGGAACACACAATTTTAACAAAAGCAGAATTAATATATCCAAATACTATCAGCCCTGTCTTATTGTAGATCTATATTTATTTTAATTCACATTTTGATATTGAATTTTCAAAGGCGTGTCACCAATTAATTTCGGTAGATGAAATTTCACCAAAAAGTGAAACATCAATTTTATAATTTCAGATAAAAAAAAGTATTTCACCACTTAAGACATAATAATGATGATTGTTGAATTTGGTAGACCAAAGGACCAAATAACTAATATTCTAATCTATAATGTTAAACTCGCCGTCTACAAGTTTATTGTATAGAGAATATTATAGTTACATACATATACAAATATATATATATATATATATATATATATATATATATATATATATATATATATATATGGACCTGTGGGTAGGCAGCGAATGCGAGATATATTTGTGTGGGTGATAATGCATCTGGGTGAAATACAATACTAAATATTCAGTCACATGTTATCATGATATGCATGGCATAGTTTTCATTTTATCACAACTTGATATCGACAGCCGGCTCACATGACACTAAACGTACAGCAGTGACAAGCACTGATTGATCGGTCAAGGGAAGCAACTCTTGTTGTTTACTTTCCGAAACTCGTTTCACACTAGGAGGAAGTTTGTCAGATTTAGGCATGATATCACATACTAGGTAAACAATACTGCCAGCAAACTATTAATTAAATACAGCCAAAATTTCGTTTGGAATGAAAGCATTCAAAATGAAATCAAATTCTTACTTTCTAGGTTTCTTGCCCTTCAAAGGGGGAAGTTTTAGATCCGGAGTATCACTGTCTGAGTCCGTGTACAATAAGTTCATATAATCCTGGCTGGAAGATTTCAAACCTCCGTTCCTGGGTTTCATTTTGATCGTTAATGCTATTAAACGATTAACTTATGAAAATAACTGCCCTGAAATCACAATATATCCATTCTGGTCCACGTAGATATAAGACGCAAGAACTCAAACTTTATGTGATGTGACGTTTAAGGGGGAAATTAGTTTTGGAGAAAGTAGTATTTGTTTTAGCGTTTCCAGAAACTTCAAAATTCCATCTTGAATGACGCATTTGAATAATAATGTCGTACTACATTGTTAATCAAATAGTATTTGGGAATGTACTTCGTATACTTTCTGTATTGATATTCTTTGTTATGTGAAAAATGATGTCTCCCTTGACATAACCTGGCATGCAGCTCCCATCTGTTATTTATTGAGCCTAAGTTCGCACGGGATTTTATTATCGCCTATAAAGTTCAATAGGGGCATCGTTGCACTTTGTGATTTGATTCAGAAACTGATTTCCTCCTTAATAGCGAGTTAACAGCACAAATAATGCATATTAATGAAATCGCGAGTTTATGATTCAATTAAAAGTTAAGTTTACTCATAAATCTGTGAACAGAAGAATATCATTAAACTCAGATCTTAGTTCTTGCTACTGCTAGACAAACATCTTTATTTAGCGGTTGCGAGTACTAAGATCTGAGTTAATGAGATTGATGTACAGAATAAATGGTTGTGTGAGTGTGTGCGGGGGTGTCACGGCACTGATTGAGACAATTAAGTCAAGAGACAAAACTAAAAATGCCTTTATTTAAGTTCTAAACATATGTATCTAAAATTACATTGATTCTAAATTTGGTTTCGCAACAGATACCCTGTCTGTAAATGTTGGACGGGGTTGGGCATTTCACTTTGTGAAAATCTGGTGAATATTGTGTTGCAGTACATGTACATAGCTACTCTGTCTACCGCAGCAACAGTAACATGTACTGCAACTACTACAACTACCGCAACATCTACTACAACGTCTACAGCGTCAACTGCTATAACATATACTGTAGCATCTACTACAACACCCACGACTGCAACTGCTGCAACTACTACAACCCTCTCCTATATTGATAGTGTGACAGCTAATCTAAAGAGCTCTATATACGGTAAAACTGAAACTTTATATTTTCATACTACTACTACTACTACTACTACTACTACTACTACTACTTCTACTACAAATACTGCTATTATTAAACCCGTGAAGATCCGGGAAAGAATAGGTCTTCAGCAACCCATGCTTGCCGTAAAAGGCGACCACATATATGCTTGTCGAAAGAGGCGACTAACGGGATCGGGTGGTCAGGCTCGCTGACTTGGTTGTTACATGTCATCGTATCCCAATTGCGTGGATCGATGCTCTAGATAGATTGTCTGGTCCTGACTTAATTATTTAAAGACCTTATTTATATAGCTGGAATATTGTTGAGTGCGAAGTTAAACAACAAACAAACAAACTAATAATATTACTACTACTACTACTACTGCTACTACTACTACCACTACCACTACTACTACTACTACTACTTCTATCACTACTACTACTACTACTACTACTACTACTACTACTACTACTTCTACTACTACTTTCAACAGTCATCTTTCATTACTATCACAACAGCTCTGGCGCCACCGTCACTACAACGACCACGAGCCACGTACAACGTGTACCACAGCGACGATCGATAACGCGCTACACACAAAGACACCCTTTACAACTTACCCTTCCGATGCCGCCTTTATCCTCTTCTTGACCTTTGGGGGTAATCTGACCCCAGGACTAGCGCCACCCTCGCTCTCCGACCCTGTGCTGGGTAGGGATGCGTAACTTCCACCCCCCTTGCTTCCCATAGCTTTACCCGTGGGGTAAGATTTGGCGTTCATTGCTTGACCCTCCGCGAACAGTCGAAGACAGGTAACTCAGTTGGAGCTTCTTATCTTCGGAGAGCTGTTTTGTACCAAACACAACTAACAATAACACCTATTTGTGTTGCACAGCTGAGTATCACACTCTCAATTAAACGTGGACCCATTCCTGCGATTACTGAATACATGTACTGGATACGATATAGGTAACAACGCTTAACCTAATTTAGTCTCCTTTTCAATACACACGTTTACGCGATAAGCACAAGAACATGTTTCTTATCAGTCGTTGCACGAACACTTCGTCATATATATTTTTATTCACGGGACACGTGTCAACTGTGCACTGAAAACAGATAGGGTCAATTCACAACATAACGCGTAACAGTCTACCGTTATAAATTCACTGTTGTGTAACGGCTAAAGTTACTGAATACAATAAAGACCCTGATTTATACGTCTCTCCTACGAGGCGCGACGGGGTAAACGAAAAGACTTTGGTGTTTTTGTGATCGAAATAGATCGATTATCTCGTAGGTCGTTATATTACCCAGAATTGAATATAGCTCAGAAGAGGCGCTTTATCGAGGTACTACAGCGGGTAGGTAGAACAAACTTATGTGTAATAGCGAGTAAATATGAGGGTAGGTAAGATTGCAATCCCTAGCTTTAGACAAGAAAGTGAATTGTTTTGTAACAAGACTGCGAGTTCGATTTTTCCTGTACTCATAGTTGACACATGTTCAGTAGATATTTAACCTACGTTAGGACAGAGACCATATAATTACATGGTCTCTGGTTAGGAGAAGTATATTTTGTTTATTCTATCAGTAATTGAATTAGTTGGAAGGCTCGGTCATATACATTGGTCGATTGCCAGCGAGCACTGACGGGCGCGTTATATTTTTATCAATTTTTATCCTACAACTGCTGATGTTTTCTATGTCGACGCGTTTATTGAACCTCTGGAATGATTGACGTCGATTGTTCGGTAACACGGACATAAACGCTGCAGTTGTAGGCCAAGTGGAATTTGTTATCTGTTCTGGGGAATTTCGTCATTATCTTTAGTGATTTTCTGACGGTACGTGTTACTATGGTAACTATATATTTACCTTAGCCGGCTGCTAAAGATGTAAGGGACACAAAGAAAATAAACAACGAACACCTAGAAACCAATCAATTCATTTCATTGATATTTCATCAGATGCTGATATGTGAACATTAGCCAAGACAGACACACATGGAAAATAGTTAAGCCCCCGTTACTGTACAGTTCCATATAAAATAAAGATTTTCTTGAAAATCATACTCAGTAACAATTGTCTGCAGAAACACATTTGTTTTTGTTTGCAGTAAGTGAGTGAGACGGGTTTTACGCCGCTTTCAGCAATATTCCAGCAATATCTCAGTGGGGGGTACCAGAAATGGGCTTCACAGATTGTAGATTGGGGAACTGAACCCGGGCCTTTGGCGTGACGAGCGAGCGCTTTAACCACTAGGCTACCCAACCGGCCCTTGTTTGCACAGTGACATGCTAATATTGAAATACAGAAGCTGAAATCGGCCATGTAATGTTCTGTAACTGCTTCATCTCAATAGTTGTTTGACTTCCCTTTCCATTGCTTCCTCTGCTTCTTTGCATCATAGGGGCGGTCGGATAGCCTAGTGGTTAAAGCGTTCGCTCGTCACGCCAAAGACCCGGGTTCGAATCCCGACATGGGTACAATGTGTGAAGCCCATTTCTGGTGTCCCCCGCCGTGATATTGCTGGAATATTGCTAAAAGCGGCGTAAAACCAAACTCACTCACTCATTCACTCACTCACTCTTTGCATCATAAGAAAGTAGTCACAACCATCAGGGGGCGGTCGGGTAGCTTAGTGGTTAAAGCGTTCGCTCGTCACTCCGAAGGCCCGGGTTCGTTTCCTCATATGGGTACTAAATGTGAAGCCCATTTCTGGTGTCCCCCACCATGATATTGATGCAATAGTGAGTGAGTGAGTTAAAACTTTAAGTAACATCGGCAATATTTCAGCCATAATGTTGAAATCGGCGTAAAAATCATACCCATACCTCCAACCGTCCGCGGAAAAATATAGTGTTCTCGTATCAACTTATCAGATTTGCACTTGTGTAAAGCGATCTTAGTGCTACGACTATTGTAAGCATGGGAGCATGTTAAAGTATGGGAGTTACGATCATCTTAGCGCTAAGATCGCTTTGTGCGAGTGGGCCCAGGTCTTGGTTGTATCTTTGTAAACATTTGTCCAACTGAGAAACTGTCACATTTAGATATTTTAAAGTTATACATGCACATTAGGACATACATGTGTGCATATAAAGGGATGGTACTTCACATTTTCCAGACGTATACAGTAAAATCTTTCAGACTTAGAACGCAATGATGTAAGGTGACTAAAAGCAGAAATGGAAGGGTGTGGCAGTGGAACCCCACAAGAGAGGGTTCCTACTGTTTATGGCGTTGGGGTAGCCTAGTGGTTAAGCGTTTGCTGGTTTGAAGCTGCACATGGGCACGATGTGTGAATCCCATTTGTAGTGTAATCGAATAATATTGCTGGAATGTTGCCAAAATCATCACTCACTCGCTCACTGTCATGTGACATCGGGCCGCTCTCAGCAATATTTATTGGTAGGGGCAATGGCCATCTGTATCTGTGCAAGCGCTCCAAGCAGTAACCGTCCGGATGAACGGGGCCCGGATGAACGAGGTTTCAATGAACATGTTTGCGTTAAAATATTTAAAGGAAAAAATATAGGGTTTTCTTTGTCGGATCGAACTTTCACGAATAGCCAGTCATGCAGTCAGTTACAGTGCGTCGGGTTACATTCAGTCATGTCGACATATGTTTTTTTCAATCAATATGATACAATTCGAAATGCAATTATGCTGAAGAACTGGTTCCAGGGATGTCACATAATAAGAACAGTTGGAGAGATGACGTTATCCGTCTGTAAATAGGAATTCACCATGACTACCATCGCGTGGGAACCTGAATGTGATGAAAATACATTCGTTCTAAATGCCTTTGAAATATTTATTGAATTATATCGAGGACTGTGTTACTCTAGAAACTACAGTTTTTATGGGCTCTCAGAAAACAATAGTTCATACGCCTAGTGTTTAACAGGGTCGGAGTAGATTCAAGGTGATCATATTTTTTTAAAGATACTTGCAATTAAAAATCTCACACGCATAGATGCCAGTAGAGAGAATCATTCGGTTCCATATTTTCACACATACAATAGGGTGGAGATCTTGACTATTTAATCCAACAGACTTGAGACTCGAGTTTACTGTGCTTCTTGCGTTTTGGCAACATCGCACCATCATATTTGAACATGTCAAATATTTAGTTTTTAGAATGACTCCCCGATACGTTACATTATCTGAATACTACCGCGCTTAAATTGGAAGTGATTATGTTGGGACATCAATCTGCTGAATATATCGGCGTGACTTTGAGTGGCATTGTAAGCTACTCTCTAGTCATGTGCATACTGTGTAACCGTGTTAAGAGCGACTCACCCCCTCTCCTCTTTCTGCCCCCCCCCCCCCCCCCCCCCCCCCCCCGTCTCTCTCTCTCTGAACGTCGGTCCTGCACCTCCATTGTTTGTTTGATGTTTAACGCAGCACTCCAGTATTCCAGCTATACGACGGTAGTCTGTAAATATCCGTGTCTGGACCAGACAACCCAGTGATTGATATCATGAACATCGCTATTGGGATACGATGACATGCGTCAACCAAGTCAGCGAGTCTGCCCACCCGATCCCGTTACGACAGGCATGTGTTGCTGAAGACCTATTCTTCCCTGGATCTTCACGGGTCGCGCATCTATGGACTCGCCAAGGGCTTTAGTACACAGTGTACACATCACTGGGCCAAGAACTGATCCTTGACGAACGTCAATAAGATGAAGACTTTATTCTTCGATGACACATTGGTGACTTTTACTATTTCAGTATGTGGCATCTGCATGTTCGGAATGAAGTTAAAATCAAGAAAGTGTGTGGTTTAGAGTTACCTCCCTTGGTTGTGACAAACTCAGAACATGTTCATATTGATGTGACGGTTTCTAGAAGTCTGCCTGTACAAGAGCGACATGAGTGCGATTCGGTGTATTTTTCGACTACCTGCTAAGTGCGGATTGGATATCTGACTAAAACCAACGAATTCCTGCTCGCTGCAAACACTATTCCGGATTCAAGAACGTAACCATCTTCCCGAGGCAAGGGAGTTAATTGACTATTAAAGTTCAGTTTACGTGGCTTTATCGTAGCGCTACGAGTGGTTATAACGAGTTCTTTCCCTTTTATGTTCCTCCTATTGACCAATCAGATTCTAGCCATGTTTGGCAAGTCAGTCAAAGTCAGTTAACTCCCTTACCCCTTTCACCGGGAAGATGTTTCAAGACGTTCGCCAATGACAAGTTCTGGACAATCTTTAGTGCACCGACATATTACACGGCCTGTTGCCTATAGTTTCAGCCACTTATTAGACCAATTACACTGCCCTTGTGATTTTAAACCTTAAACCTTCAATATAATTAGTAAGTTATTAACTTATCTTGTCCGGTCCCTTACTGATTTCACAGTTAAGTTCTATATCAACCGATTTCTTTGAAACCTCGTAACAAAAGAATATTGGTCGTAAGTCATATGAATCATTTCAATGAATGTGTAGAAATCCTGTCTTATGTTTTCCTAAAATTTGAAACTTGTCGATTCTATTGGAGTCAACGAAGATTTTAATGGTCCATCATTGGAACGTTTAAAAAATCCTGAGATTCGTTTGGTTATTTTATGGACGCTTCTAATAATGTTGTGCACGACACTAAATAAACTCCCCATCTTAAACTGACCGAGCTTCGGCTCGTACTTTCTTGATTCTAGAAACAATATTCGTTTCATGTTACTGGATAAAGCTATTGTGTTGCTTGTCAGTAATGTTTCGTGTAATAGGTATACAGATACAAACGGTACAAATAAAACAATAATTTGAGTGAGTAAATTGTTTTTACGTCACGATCAGCACTATCCCAACTACAAGGCGACCTCTAAGTGATCGACTCTAAGTCAGACAAGCCAGTGGTTGATAGCATGAGCAACGCCCGATGGCGTCAAAACGGTGACACAATCTGTGAAGACCCAAGCCGTAATCCTCACATACTTACC